GAGGGATCTGGCGTTGGACCACCGGACAGACACGTTTCGCCGGTTCAACGAACGATTTTACATGATCAAGGGACCTCACCAAACTATGGGATTCACACTTGTATATTAGAAAGTTGATTTAGCACATACAGTAACAGATTTATCCCCTTTTTCGTTACCAGGGACCGACAAAAAAAAGAGCCGAAAAAAGTCGCCATTTTTTTTTCTCGGCATTACGAACGATGCTCTATTCTAGCCGTATGAAGGTGAATTTTAGATTTCTTTAGTCCAAAAAAACAGTAAAAACTGATATTGTGACGTTATTGGAGGACAAGATTGCGACATTTTTCTTGAGTTCCAGATCCTTTCCCATCATTTTAGTTGTGAGTGAGTAAAAGGTTAAAAGATAAATAAAAATAAAAATTTTAAAAATGTTGCAAAAAAATTAAACGAGCATTTGAAAAAAAAAAAAGAAAAAAACAGGCATTTTTGTTATTAGAAAACTTTATTGCAATTTGGTTAAATGAATCGCCAGACATGAATTTTTCTGGCTATCTAAACAAAATAGTAACTCGGCCCTTACCTGTACTTCCTAGCCACTACGAAGCCAAAGGTGAATCAAATAAAACGTGTGCCATAGTTGAAGGCTACTTTTTACAGTTCTTGTGAGAAAAGTAACTAGTAATAGTTTTGCATACAGAATGGCCATAAAACTTTCACCGAAATTAGTTTTCTATTTCCTTTGGTTCTCTGCTAGCTTACTCAGGTTGCCAGCCATTAACTCTTTTGCCAGCTTAGCCATTTACGATCGGCTGCCCGCAAAGTAACATTGGCTTTAAAAAAAAAAAAATCTAATTTTTCGGGTTCTAATAAGTGAGAAAGGGGCGAATTTTTTAATGAATTATGTTAAAAGGAACATAAAAATTCATCCTTAATTGCAAATTTTTCTTTGAAAACATAGGTGCCTTGTTTTTAAGAAAGATGGTAGCGGTTAAGCGGCCTTAGTTTGTAATCTCGAGATTTTTAAGCGTCTTTCCACACCCAAAAATTTTTGGAAATGTTCGAAAAAACTTTAATTAAGTCATTTTTTGGGTTTGAAGTACTTTTTTTTTTAAAAAAAAAAACTCACAAAATACTATAGAGGGGGGGGAAATTTCTCTTTTCCCTCGAATTTGTGAAATTTTTGAAAAAACAAAAAATACACCGAAATGAACTTTACGTCACATTAAAACGTGCATTAGCACTATCCGTTCAAAAAGTTTGAAGACAATATTTAAGGCCGTTTTTGAGAAAATGGCGTTTGACCGTTTCTGAAAATGCGGAATTTTCAGCTGGTTTTCCCACAAGACGGTTGAGTTTTGGAAACGCTTTATATGACATTATTTAAAACACATGTGCTCATAAATGTAATAATGTGAACTAATTGCCCCTAAATACTAACAATATGACAAAACAAGTCAAAAGAATTACATTTTTGTAATTTGAAAAAACAAAAGAATATAGCAATATGGCGTTTATGTCATCTTATAGAGTACATTTAGCACTACCTCTTTCGAAAGTTTAAAGAAAAAATTGGAACAGTTTTTGATAAAATCTTGTTTATGTAATTTTTAATTGCTAATATTGCACGCAATAATGCGCGAAAACCACTTAAGTTTTCAACATGTACTGTCCTGAAAAAACAACATTATCAGCAACAAATTTAATTTGATAGGAAAAACCTTTGATCTTCAATTTTGTAGTTGTACGCCAAAACAAAATGCATACTTTTGAAATTTTTCGAACTTGAAAGTACCTGAACGTTAACCTTTTGAAAATCGAACCTATGCCACTTTTATAAGTGTATTTTACTCTATTCAAGAAATTGAAAGAAAAAATTGGGAGCTGTTTTTTAATAAATTTTGAAAATGTCGGGAGGGCTTGTAGTAAAGTACCCCCAAATTTTGAAGAATTTTGGAGATTTTTCAAAATCTCAAAGTTTCGACTCGAGCCAGATGGACAGGGGTTTCTTCAATTTGGAACAAATTCTACCCATGGTTTAGGCGCTAGCAGTGTTCACACACGGACGGACGGATGATTGTCAAAATAACCACTTTGTCGTTACTAGGGACCGACAATAAAAAATTTTCTGCAACAAATTCGCCGTTTTCCCCCTTAGCATCACATAACATTGTCTTCTAAAGATGTACCTTAAGGGCGAGAAAAGAAATCCTTATCCTATATGGAAATTTTCCTGGAAAAATTGGGAGCCGTTTTTAAGGAAATGTTTAAGTATTACTGTAAACACGAGAATGTAATCTCTTTTTCGCAGATTTTTTTCCAGTTTTCGAGAAACTATAATAGACATCTTTTGAAGCATACTTACTCATAAATAGAGACTGGATAACTATGTAGTAAGAAACGTCAAAATATGCATAAATACGTAATGAAAATAGTAAGAATCTGTAATAAATATTTAAAATCGGATGTAATATTAAAATACACAAATCATATAACACATTACCCTAACTCGAAATTATATTTATCCAAAAAGTCCTAAACAAATTTTAAAAATACAAACGTTTTTAAAATCATTCGGTGAGCACAAGTTGATGCACATTTTGTACTGTACAACTTTCTCGTCAGTAATACAAGCTTCATCTCTTGCTATCCAGAACAGTAGTTAAGCAGTCAGACTAGATGCAATAGAAGCCTTGTACAAACTCCCTATATCTACGACCAGCAAACAAACAGTGCAGGATGTAGCCTTCTCGTCGAAGTGTTACACGTCCGCGCCCACCAAAATTTCTCGGAAATTAAAGTTAAATGACACTTTTCACACGTAAAGGTGAAAATGATCTCAGTCGCTCACGCGCGCCTCCCGTCTATGAGGTACCTGAAGCAGGGGCGCCGGACTTTAAAAACATCCCACCGCGTCCTGCTGTAGCTCATCTAAGAGTCGACAGCTCGCAGTAAGTATGTAGGAACAAATGGACGAGCTCAGGTGGTCGACGGCGGTACACCTACATTTGACCCGTGTGGTCGGGTGGGCTGCGACCTTGTTACGCTTCGTGTAAGGCACCACCCTCGAGCCCGGAGCCCCTCTCTCTGACGCCGTGGACAGTCTCTCCGAGCGCGCTCTCGCTCAGTCGCCGCACGATTACACTGCTCAAGGGTGGGACCTCGCCATGTCAAGTAATATACCATTTACAGCGAAGATGCGTATCATCTCCTCCCCGTCTTGCGTTTCGATAGAAGGAACGCGACATTTGGTGTCAGGTGTGCGGTCCGCAATACACACGAGAAAGATCGGTATTGGGGTGAGTCGAGGACAGTAAGGAGATGCGATATGTGCGCCACATGAGTGTCAGGGGATTGTGGCTCTACGTTCTGAGCTAGCAAAATTGGGGTTAAGATTCAGATTTTTTTGTTGCTTTTTCCGCCCCCTCATGTTTTGTTCTTCTTGGCCAAAATGATAGATCAGGTGGAATATACTCGGAAAATAAGCGTAAAAGGAAAACAAACAAACAAAAAAACAAGTATATTCATCAAACACTCGCCGCACGTGACAGCAATAGCACAGGCGGTTAGATTAAATCCAGGTGCGTGTCAACTACCACCGTCGGGCGCAGCGTTTCACCTAATAGGCGCAATTAAAACATAACTTGCAATTCCTGCGGGAGAAGAGGGCATGGGAACAGACGCTACACTACCAGGACAAGGAAATGTTTTAGTTGCAGCGACACAGCATTTGGCGTAAAAATTGTGCGTATAACAATGATGCGTATTATCGCGTTTCGATAGAACGAACACTGGTGCCTTCTGCACCATGAGTTAAGTGTTCCGGTTCTTCAGAAAATTGTCAAGTTCATCATTACATTGTTGAGCATCGGGTAATTCTTTAAACGAAAATGGTTATATGTGCAAAGCATCTAAGAAAAGTCTGATATTTGATTATTCTTATTTGGGGTATGTTGAATGCATGCTGTGAATTCAGGAATGTAAGCTGAATGGTTATCTTGCATTGATTGCAAGATGCATGTTAGCATAAATCAATGGATTGTGGCCAGAGAAGAATTATACATCGCCGTGCTTCCAAAAATTGTCTGAAGTAGCGAACAGCTACGTAAAGCACATACAATTTTCTTTAATAAAGTTGGCCAACACGTCTGAGTGGTAGAGTATTTTAAATATAAATCACGAGTTTCCCAGGAGTCTACATCTTGCTGAAGTACAGCACCTATGTCAGAGAGGCGTCTACCAATTTAGAACTGAGGAGAGGATGCGCTAATGAAGTTACATCAGCAAATTGTGATATGAACTCGTCTAGATGATGCGATCTGTATTCTTGGGAGATGAGTCAACTAGTAATTTCAGATAAGCTTGAGCATCGTGAAGGAAAAATCGACGGTAAAGTACACCCTGCCGAGAAAAAAATGCAAGTTGCTTAGCTGAAGTTGGACGAGTTAAAGATGTGAGAGGTTGAATACGTTCATCAAGAGGTTTAATACCCAGTGAACTAACATTACAACCTAGGATCGTGATACGTTCTTTGCCCAAAAGCTCACTCTTGAGAATAAGTCCCAAGCGAGGTCGATCCACGTCCTGAAGGGGGACGCAGATAAGGCTCTCGTGTGTTCCTTTCTCCACCTTTCATCCTATTGCTTATTTCATGTCACGTACATTCATTTACCGTCCCTTTTCACCCTCACTCGCTTTCTCTGCACCCGGAATGCGTATGAATGTGTTTGCCGTGCTTGGCGACCCGTGGAGAAGAGAATGGGTGACCTGGGGTTGAGGGGTCTGCGTACTCACCCGTATGCTGCCTTGTCGCTGGAACCTTCGTTGAGAGAGTCCTGGTGATTGTGTAGGCACGCATTACGAGGTGCACTCCTTTTGGCCTCTACCTCTTATAGACGAGGAGTCGGGAGCCAACTCACTCCCGATCAATCGGCTTGGTCCAGGTCTTTGGCTGGACTCTAGAGTGTGCGGGGAGAGCCACGGTGGGGCAGCGCTGTAATCTTCCACTATAGCTCAGTGTCAACCAGGGCAGCCCAGAGGGGCGTCCTCTTGTTGGACTTCATGGTGAATGCGTGGGGGCAGGGAAACGAAACACCTTCCATCCTATGGAACACAAACCCATACCTTGCCCTCTTCCGGAAGGAAGAGACGATGATTTGAACGAGCTTATAAGTGTTTCTCAGAGAAGACAGACCGAAGAAAGGTCGTTTTCTTAAAAGCGTCTGCGCGATTCGTCTCGCGTGAGTCAGAGGCTTCATTCGGAAAGCTGCAAGAGGTCGTGCGACAAAGGAATGATATCTTTTAAGAGCATACCGACGAGCAGATGGAACAGATCTTTAAAAGCAAGCAGATGGCTGGCCTCTACGGGGAAGCAACCACTCACCCTATCCATAACCTTTGTAAAAGATTCAACCTCAACGGCTTCGCATCTGAAACTAAAGAACGTTACTCTTGAGTCAGGGTGCAACGGGGGTGTTCAGAATCAAAAGCATGGAGAGAGATCCCCACTCCTGACGTTCAATTTCCCATTCCTCCTAGAACAGATTAGTTTCGATTTTTAGAATGTTTGGGAAGTCCACAGTAGGCAACAGAAGTGAGCTACCGTCGACAGGAATCTTCGCCAGGTACCGGCATATGGCCTCACGAAAACGATTGTCGTCATGACTCTGATCTTTTTAATATCCCACTACTTCAAAATAGTAGCACACTTGTTGGAAATGGTCGCATGGTCACCTTCACAGGTTACGCAGCGCAGACGTCTAGCACAGGGTTTTCCTTAATTTGTCGCCACTGGGCAAATAAATAGCGTTTACGTGTATTTATGTGAAACCTCCAAGCTTTCTAAGTGCTTTCCAGTTAAATTTCCCGTTTCACAGAACCTTGTCATTTTAAGGCCATGAAATATTAGGGACTCCAAAAGGTAATTATAATAATATTAATAATGCATGGGCCCCAATTCAGGCTCTGAATTAAAAGCTGAACGAATTGTCGAACACATAATTTCCCCCTGAAAATAAAAGTATTTGCTGGTTTTTTCAGGGAATAACTTGGAATTTGTAGCAATGGTAAATCGTAAAAATGGAAACAATGTGTAGGAGCGTTTTAAAACTATAGGTGAAAGACATAAGGATTTTAGAGTTAAAAAATACCATCTGCCGTCTCAACGAAGCTTCAAGCACTTTACATGAAAGGTAATTTGAATTAATTTATGAAAACGTTTTATCACAGAAAGGCTAAACTGGGCGGAATAGGGGTGAGGTAGAGAGGAATCAAAAATTTGGATGTAAGGAGTAATTTTCACAAAGCATTATAGCTTATTCCTGTCCACTTATAGATGTTTGATTTTTGTTTCAACAAGAAAATTATTACTTCCAGAAAGTATATGTTTATTTAAATTTTGCACATGTATGATTTCTTAGGCATCCCAAAAACTATAAAAACAAGCTTCACAATGCATGTAGATTTTAATTTTTATAAATATTTTCAATATAAATTGTAATACACTGATAAAACTGTCTCAATATAAATGTTTAAATAATTTTATCCTAAAAAATCAAGTCATATCAATGATATCTCCTGGCTCTCCTTCACATTCTAAAAACGTTCTACTTACAATACATTTAGTCATGTAACAGTTACAAGGTACAGCATGAGCAACCTTTTCAGGATCCAACATAGTGAATTGGATGTTGTAGTGGCGTGGATTTTCATCACTTCTAGTCAAGTTTATTTCCCACGCTAATGGTTCCCTTTCCTCCACTGAATATTCATCAGGCAGAACAATAACTGTTTGTTTCCAATGCGTGGGCTGGGAAAAAGGAGCTGTACTAAGCACCAATTGATCAGTTATTATAGGTGAAGGGAAGGTACATGTAAACCAAATACATAATCCTTGATAGAGACCATCCTTATTTGCACAAACTACATGACTGCAAGAAAACTTGTTTAATTCCTCCGTTTGCAAAGTACGTAAATTCAATTCAAACACACAAACGGGTTCAGAAAGCAAATCTTCTGCATTAACCAATGCCACATCTGGTTGATTACTTTTCGATTTCCTTAGTTCGTTACCAAACACACTCAAATTTATTCCACTAACATCTGTCCAAAATTTATAGAGATCAGGCAGACTACAAGGACTTGCGTACAAGGCTGCAATCTCTGGAAACATTCTTCCTCCTAATTTCAAAAATTTATCACGCGCAACAAGAACGGAATCCAACATTCCCTCGTGTAGTAAATAAAATCCCATCCACTCGGACACAATAATATCAACCTTTTGATTGTCTGGCAAATCGAGATCTTCTACTCTTGTATTGAAAACCTGGAATATAGATATAGTGCGTATCGTATATTTTTTTAACACTAGAAAAATAATAATAATAATAAAATAAAAATTGTTTTTAAAAATTAAATTCAACCATGCATCCGCATTCCTTCTAATTTCTTAAATACTAATGCCAGAAATAATGACGAAGGCTGCCTTCATTAGCTGTGTACCTCAGGCTAACGACACACGAGCATCGCAACATGTACGTCGTTGACAGGCCAAAAGAGCACCATCACAGCCGCGCATCACACGTCATTTGTCGGGTGGTCTTGTGCTAGCAAATATGAATGCGAGTTGTGTTGCATTGGAATGAAATATAAAAGAAACGAGGAGATAGTGGATTCATCCCATTAATAGCGAGCGGCTTTTGCAGGGATAATTTTACACCTTTTTTCAGAGTTATGCAACGACGGTGAGACATTTTTAAATTATTTTTGAATGTCTGATTCATCGCTTAGAGAATTGCTATCGAAATTACGTGATCATATTAAATGGCAAGAGACCAATGAGAGGTATACTATGAAATCCTGGCCACCAGAAGAAATGCCTGCATGTGCACTTCATTAACGTTTTAATGTCTAATCCATTCATTTTATGAATGGAAAAATAGTATGTAGCTCGTTCAACGTACGTATGTCGCTAGTATTCAATGTGTCCTGCACGCTATGGATGCCTAAGAAATTACGTTCACATTCTACCGGCTAACGTCCGTACGCTGCTGCTACCCTGAATGTCCCTGCAGCGCGCCAGTATGCCACGTCCCACACGCGTCCTTGCTGAATTACGACGGCCGCACTTCAACGTCCGTCATTCGAGGCTCGTGAGTCGCTAAGCCACCTAGTACACACTGAAACTATGTACTAGTGGTCTTAATTGCACCAAACAACTCAAAATCGGAGTTTTGAATCCTGACTCCTACTTTACCCTAATGAAGTGAAAACGTTTTTGTGTGAGGCATGAAGCCTAAGGTCAGACATACAACATTTACATACATTCTTTTTCAATGAAAAATTGCCGGGGACCTATTTGGCTCACTTTTTTTTTTAGATAGGGGCTGAATTGTACATTTTTAAACTCAATTTGTTTCTTATTGGCAATAATTTTATCAAAAACCTTTGGTTTTGACGACAAACGTCTTAAGAGTACTCAAGTCACCTTTAAATCAGGACATAGTGACAAATCAAGGATTCCATTATTATCAGAAAATGATGATTAATAATTGTATTCATGGAAAAGTTAATTGTTTTACTCATAAGTACGTAAATAACCAGGTCTGACAAGTGTGTAATGTTGCAGAAGGTGGTTTCATTGCAAATGATCATAAGTACCTTCAATCAACTTAGCCTTAAAATTATACATAAATCAGAAACTGCATTAATACTTAAGCTTTAGAGCAAGTAGACTGAAAAAAAAAAAAAAAAAAAAAAAAAAAAAAAAAAAAAAAAAAAAAAAAAAAAAAAAAAAATTAAAAACATGGAGGGTAATGAAACTCAGAAAGGATTAGCCAGCAATGAGTGCCAATACTAGTTTTCCAGGATTTTTTTATTGTGATGTAGGAGTGATGTTTGGAGGGAAGAAATGAATGACATTGGACATCAAAGGGAAAATTCACGAGGAAATTTAGTGGGATAGTCTCACCAAATCGAGGAGTTTATTGCAGAAGCTTGGAAAAAGGCCTCTGCTGTATTCAGAAAAAAGAATCTGAATACCCATATATATTGCCTATGTTTCAAATTTCTAATTCAACTCACCTGAACAATGTCAGAAACATTATTTTCTTTCACAAGCTTTTCTGACAGTTTTGCAATATCACTTGCTTCCACTGCGTACACTTTCTTTGCCCCAGCCTGGGCACACATTATTGCCAGTACCCCTATAAATCGACAAAATGAAAAAATCAACAATTCTTTTCCTTCTAGAATGAAAAGGCGGCGCAGAAAGTATTGGCATACTTTCAACAATGGCTTACAACAATATGTAAGACCTTACAACCGCTTCGCGCTGTTAGCGAACCTCGCCTATAGGCAACAACGGAACTATCAGCAAGTCAACATTGGACTCAGAGGGCCTCCATCAATTTTTGTTCACGAGGTTAAGAAGAATAAAAATATTTTTTAGTAAAATCCAAAAGTTAGGAATATTTTTTCCCTTCTTATAAAGAACTCAAACCCTTCTAATTCCGTTGCACATTGAAAATCACTGACACTGAATCATACTCTGCGAGATCCAAACTGCAAGGTAACAATATATGTACCTTCACTTAGCGCACATTTTGTTGAGCAGCTTTTGGCAGCTATGAAAGGAGAAGATTTTTATTCGTAATTCTAAATTAGTGGTGTTACACGAGCCCGTACTTTCTCGTATTATTTTTAATTGTAATTATCGAAAATTTATAACATTCAACGAAATTGAAACCTGTGCCATTCTTTTAATCGTTCCATGTTCCATCAGTGGTAGAAAAACTTTGCAGTGGTTTTGAGAAAAGTTTTTATAAATTGCATACATTTCAAGTACAGCATAAATTAAGCAAAACTACTCGTTTTTCAAATATATAATATATTTGAACTTTATATGAATATATAATTTTTTAGAACAGATTTTATTTAAGACAAAAATCTCCATCTAAAATTTTCTAATTTTTAAATGTTACAATTTTGCAGTTTTTGAAAGCAACGTTCGCCGAAAGTGTGATTAGCGCCACTTTTACTTTCCCGTTTACGTACGTATATACGGGATAATATGTGAAGTATAGGGAAAGTTATGAAATGCAGCGGAAAATCTATTTCCAGATTTCAACGGATATACACGTTATGGGGTCCCCTGATACCGAATTTTTTTTTCTCCAACCAAACCATGGGTAGGATATTTTCTAAATTGAATAAACACTTGTCCATCTGGCTCGAGTCGAAGATTTGAGATTTTGAAAAACATTCTTCAACATTCGGGGGTACTTTACATGAAGCCCTGCGGACATTTTCTGAAATGTTCTTAATTTTTCGGTTTACTAATAATAGAACCGAAATATTATTTTAAGAATACTAAAGAACAGTAAAACAGCGTTCTAAATGGCAATTTTCTTTGAACAATTTGGAGCCCTTTTTAAGAAAATGGCGCTTTAGAGCTACAGTATATTTGAAATTTGAAGCACATTTCTAAAGAAAAGTTTTGGGTGTTCAAAAACTTAATTAGATGTCATTTCAAGCACATTAACTCACAAATACAATAATAGTGTTCACAAATTTCTGGAATAAGCGCACTATCGGCGTGAGAGATTTGAGAGAGAGAAAACAAAAATTACCCAATAACTTCACATTCCTATCAGCAATATTTCGCGATAAACATTCATTTACTAGTTAGCTACGTCCAGAACGCACCAGTGAAAAGATGACGCGTCATCGGAATCTGAGCCCTGGTTTACGATTTTCTGCAATTTGTTTTTTTTTTCCTTTAACTAAATACTACGAAAGAATTTTTAAAAAAATACCAGGACGACTCTTCAAAATTAGGGGTCATCTTATTATGACAGAGTCGACTTATATTCGGGTAATGCCAGAAACTTAATTCTATGTATTTTTCTCACCTGTTCCAGATCCCACATCCATAACCACTTTATTTTGGAAAATGTCTTTGTTTGAATCTATTGCATTTTTGTAACTGTTCATTCTTGGTTCATCTGTCAGCATCAAGCGGTGAACCTAATTTTAGATCCACACCATACTTACATTACAGTCATAAAATATACTTACACATCAGATTAAAAAAGTAATTAATTCTAGTACTTACATCAAGATCACTATAACTTGTGAAGTATTCGTCACCCATCTTGGAAAATGGCGATATTCTTTCGGCGACTGAAACGTCAAATCTTATCCAATTCTAAAGCAATTATTGCAGTTTACAAATGTCTGAAACAGATTTTGGTAACAATTTATTTCAAGTAGTTGTAATTCAACAGTAGCAACGGTTGTATATTTGTTCCATGAACTGCGTGCCGCACTTAAGGAGTAATATTTGAAAATAAATATTTTTTAACTTGTGTAAACTTACGACAGTTGGGTAAAATTCGTTTAGTTGTTTGCTTATCAAAACAAAATGAAACAATTTTCTTTTAAAACCAAATATATATGATTTAAATTGGTAAAAATTGTTTTTATTGTCATAACTACAGCTCGATCAATATATATATATATATATATATATAATATATATAAATAAATATATATATTATATATAGACACGCACCACACACACTAACCACAATAAATTAGGGTGCAGTCGCGGGTGATGAACCACTTTGGGCATTGGATATCTCGGTTGTTTTTTATTGATGAGCTGTAGTTATGACAATAAAAACAATTTTTACCAATTTAAATCATATACCCTTCGAAAATGGCTGCAACAGTTCTGTGCATATGTTTCAGTGTTTATTACACATTTATAATAAAGATTGATCCGTTGACAAAAAAACAACGATTTTTTTTATAATGGTACCAATATTATGATTAAAACAAGAGATTCACTTTTATAATACCTGAGAAGTGAAATTACTGATGTGTTGAATATACCAGAAAATATTCAGCGAGAAAGCAGGTTCGCTTTTTTCTCAGCGTACACTTGGCATTAAGCAAATATTAAGCATTAGTTACAATATATCTTAAATTATAATGGCAAACATAATTACAAAATTTAATATAATATAGATTTTAATCAACGTTGTTAGTATATTTTCACATTTTAATTAAAAAAAAACAACTGAAATAGCACATTTTTTATCTCTCTAACACTATGTTCACACAAGAACTTCCGAATCACAGAAAAGTTAAAGTCATTCGGAGACTCTCGAATCCGTACGCTTCGCAGCGTTCACAAATTTCTTTTCAAAATTCATTAAAGAAATTCATTTTCCAAAGACTTCGGCGTAAAGTTTTCTGTTTGCCGAATACGCTTCCGTAGATTACAAGTAATACTGGAAAATACATGATTTTTATCGCATCGCGGACCCACGAAACGTTCTTTCGTAAGAAGCACCTATTTTTCCGCATTCGAAATATTAAAAATGCTGGGGTATTTCTAATGGAAATCATTTATTTGATCATAATATACGTATGTTCCATGCAATTCTAAACAATATGGTACAATACATTTAAATGTGATTTCAGACTATTACATGCAATTTAGGGTGTAGCAGGTATGGATAGTGCGAATAGTTAGAATTTCGTATAGTTCCCATTTTGTACGTTTTTTTGCTAATATACACAAAATTGCACATAAAATATCATCCGTAAGCTACTATTCAGCGTTATTCTCTAACGAGATCATTCTCAATTATTTCCGAAAATTCTGTATCAAAATCTTCTACATTTTATTATTCCCCAGATTTGCTTAACATTTCCATATTTTGTTCTCGTATTTCTGAAGAGATTAAAACTCCACAAAATCAGACTAATTGTGTTCACTAACTTGCTGGATTAGGGAGCACATAACAGTAACCCGCTTCTGCGAATGTGTCCTTCCGACATGCTCAAAGAAACTGAACAGATCCGGACAGCAAAAATGTGTGCCTAAAATGCGAAATGAAATGTCATAAAAATAAAGATTGCGGAGAAAACCCGAACTGCATTACACGCAAAGAGTGGCTAGGGTGAACCAAACCACGTACTAAGATCGAAAAACTGCCGATCCTTCAAAGAGGAAATCCAAAGAAGCACTCACAGAAACAATTATGGAAGTGACACAAATTAACCTGGGCAAAGGGAAACAAGCCCAAAACGCAAGTTAAAAAAAGTAAAAACTGAATGTAACGTATGGGGGAGATAATCTGTGCACGTTTTCTTGAGTTCCAGAATCACTTCCCATCATTTCAACTATAAATGGTTGAAGGATGAGTAAAAGTTAAAGATAAATAAATCAAAATAAAATTATAAGAGCGTGAGGTTACCAACATTTGAAAAACTAGACATTTTCCCCGAGTTATAGGAAACCTATTATCAATGGTAAACTAATCACTCTTCCCACACGTACCACTATGGGAAGGTCCCAGACCCTCCATAGAGGAGCATCTTCCCCTATTTACGAAAGAGGAACTGATCAAGGCCCCCAGCTAAAGAACAGCAAAGACCCAGGACCTGACGGTATACGGATGCTATAAGTGCCGTCATTAAAGAAAGACCGGACCTACTATTGAATATTTACAACATGTGCTTACAAGACGGAATCTTCTTCCGAGACTGGAAAATTCATAACCTTCTCCCACTGAAAAGAGGAGACAAACTGCTTAGTGAACCCTCCTGCTACAAACCTATCTGTCTTATGGACCCAATAGGCAAAGTCCACGAAGGCCTCATACACGGAAGACTAAACCAGAACAGGGGCAAAACCTATCAGAAAAGTAATTCGGCTTCCGAAAAGGGTGATCAATTGTGTACACAATCACGGAAGTGGTCAGCTTGGCAAGGAGAGCACAAGACGGAATAAATGGCAGGCCGGTTTCTGGGCGCTGGTCACCATCGACACAAGAAACGCTTTTAACTCGGCGCGATGAGATCATGACAACCCTTTGTGAGAGAAACCGCCCTCGCTGGTAAGGATGATTGCTATTTTAAGAATAGGAGAATACAGCACAAGGACACAAATGTTGAGCACCACAAGGATCGAAGGTAGGCCCAGTGCTCTGGAATATCCTGTACGATAGTCTCCTGGAAATGATCCTCTCGACCAACACTACCATTGTGGGGTTTGCGGACGATGCCATAATGGTGAGCACCACGGTCACCACAAACGAACTAGAGGTAAGTACCAACGATGAAATCAGTAAAATAAAGAGTTCGCTTGATCTTCATTACCTCAAAATCACCGTCGAAAAGACAGAAGCCGTGCTGGCTACGGAAATAAAGTTCAAATACACCAAACTAAAACTTGACGGCCAGGAAATACAATGGAAGGAAAAATCAAGTACCTAGGAATAGAACTAGACGTTAAATTAAAATTCACCGATCACCAAAAAAGCAAAGCGAATAAAGCCAAAGCAACCATGGCAAATATTTCGCGATTAATGCCAAAAGTAAGAGGTCCTAAAGTAAAACAAGAGACGCCTTCTGGCAAGTGTGGCTCAATCACAGCTCTTGTACTCAGCACTTTGGAAACAAAAGAGTATCAGAAAACCTGTCTCCGCGGGGCACAGAACCTGAGCTCTGAGAATAATATCAGCGTACAGGACCGTGTCCGAGAGTGCAGTCACGATTGCTAGAACCCCACCGATCGACCTACTCGCAAGAGAAAGACAGGAAACATGCGACGCCAAAAAGAAAAGACACTCTTAAAAAGAACACAAGATCAAAACTAATCAAAAGATGGCAAACGAGTTGGGACGTCGTCAACGGTAGATGGACACATCGACTCATCCCCGACGAAAAATGTGACCACAAATGATGTAATCGTGCACTGGAAAACAGCGAATATTCCGCAGAAAAACCCTTACAGCTGGACCAACGAAAACGTTGATAATTCTTGTCATCCGTATTGTATGTATGTATATAATATACATCAATGTCAGCTGTAAAAGATTTTCTGCGAAATATTCGCCGTTTTCCAGTGCACGATTACATCACTATTATCTTCTTACAAAGTACCTTAGGAAGGGCGAGAAAGTGAAATGATTACTTCAACATTATAGTTGTAGGAAGACGACGTATACTTGTGCAATTTCCGAAAACTCAGAGATTTCAACGAAAATGAGACCTGTACAACTCTTTTAAGCATCCTTAACGATATCCCAAGGCGAAGTTTATTAAAATTTTCAAGTTTTTTGTTGTTGTTGTTGTTGTTGTTGTTGAAAAAATTGAAATTGTTTTTCTGGCTCATGTAAAGTACTCCTAAAAATCAAAATATCCGTTTCAATCTCAAATGGCCTCCGATTCATTCAAATCGATAAGGGATATCAATTTGGGGGAAAATCGGTTGATTGGTTTAGGCTCTATATTTGACAATAGACAGACGGCCCAAGCCCATCTTCAATAGTTTGAATACTTCAATACTGCATTGAAGAATATTGAAGTTGGTCATGCGCCGACTCACGTCTTGCCAACAATCAATTTTAAGAACCCACAAAACATGAATTCTGACTGTACAACCTGTAGACAAACCAAAAGACGTAATATACTACATACAGGAATAAGATTTATCCACATCTTCGTGAGGGCTCGACAATAAGTTTTTCTGTCGGAAAATCTCGTTTTTTTTTCGGCGCACGAGTACAACACTTTGTTCTTAGGAAGTAAGGCGAGGAAGTAAAATCAATATGACCCAATAAAATCTTTCCCAATACATCATTGTCATCTTCTAAGAGTCGTCTAACCTGTTCCTTAGCCTCATATGTTGAGAGAAATTGAATTCTGAATGGACGGAAATTACTAAGGCCTGGAAGTTTATGAAAAATCATATTTTTAATTATGAGCTTTATAATATGCTAATTATCAAATTTCTACAAAACACAATCAAACATGCAGAAATTCAATGATTTTATATAGCATATTAGTGCAGACTTAGTGCATTTTGTGTTAATGAATCATATTTCCATTATATTTAAGTTATATTAATATTTTATTCGTTTTTGGTTTTTAGTGTGGCATATTTTTCTTGGAATTTCAATATATATGAATATGCATATTTGTCTCCACAAAACGAAAAGTGTACTTCACAAAAGTGAATGGGAATGTTATTCATGAGAAATCAAGAGAATCTTTTGTTCGTTACAGCAGTATTTGTCTAATCTTTTAAATGATATTACAGTGTTGATACCAGGAAACAATTTGTTCGATTATGAATGATGTGATAATTTATCTTTGATAAAAAAAATTGTGGCATTGAAATTTATACTTCACAATAATACAGACAAATCATTATATATTACTTTAACAATTATCGCTAGAATACAAAGTAGACACAAAAATCGAAAATTAATTGTTAAAATTAAAAATTTTGAAATTGTTTATGAATACATAACACTGTTAATTGTTAGAGTATATTTCATTAGTTCTGGCATTTTATTAATGTTCGAGCATATTTCTTCTTTTGATAAAGCATTAACTTTTGAGTCTAAGAAGTGACCATTTTTATCATGAACAATTCATTTTAGTGAAAAGAAAAAAAGGGAAAAACTATGTGCAAAGGCAAATCCACAATCCATTGGGGCTATTATTCCTCATTGAACCCTTCGTGAAGGACACGACTTCCTCCAATGAGAACATGGAGAATGATAATTTGAATAACAATACATGCACAGATAATGATGTTATATTTATGTCAAAAAAGAAATTGGGGCTGTCACAGCATTCGCTCAAAGAATCGGGGAAACTGATGAAAAATCTGACTGTGATGGGGGGGGGGGGGGGGTACACTCCCGATTACCAGTATTACTCATTTAGGTGGAGAAGTACACAGAACGTTTTGAAAGTATGGATCAATGACTGATGAATTAATCGCTCATCAAAAATTAAGCACACACAAAAAATGAAAAGTTACATTGTATTGTGCCTGTCCATCCAGTCACATTACAATTCTCTTGTCCTCAGTTGATGGAGGTGGCCAGAAAGCCTTTCTCCTTCGGTCTTTTGGTACATAGTATTGACGAGGTAACCCATAAGTGAGCAACAACTGGTTTGGAGGCAGGCATCAATGTCTGTAGAAGGTAGGAAATAAAATAATAGGAAGAAACAAGATGGTTGGGTGTATGCCAACATGTCACAACCAAAAATCTACATTGAGGAAAGTTATATTGGCAGGTAATTACAAGAATGATTAAGTATCAATTGGAATGTCAGAAAGAAGTATCACACACAGAGTCAAAGATTTGGGCAATCATTATGTGCTCCATTAATGTCAAAGGCTCTGTCCATTTAAAGTTGGTTACTGTAACATCAACTATTGCAACTTGTTTCATGCACCTTCAGCGACTCCGATCCCATTCTCTTGAATAAGCTGTTTACAAACCCTGCAGTCGAAATCAAGCAGAATAAGATCTTTAAATGTGTTAATAGAGGTAATTGTAGGGGTGATCCAAATATTTAATCATCCCAAATCCTGTATCACAAAGAGTTTCTTAGTTTTGAAAACCTTGAGGTCCTTGAACCTCAAAATGCAACACTAATAAGAAGCGAACACATGACATCACAACAAAATGTCATTTAAATCATCCGTTAACAAGCAAAGCCATGAAAATTCTTTTGAGAGGCTCCAAATTCTGTGCATGTTGTGTATGTTCCAGAAGGAGAGAGGTGGTGAGGGTGGGGGAGCTGGGGCATCTCAGCCAAACCCTGAATAGGGGTTCAATTTTTTAATTCAAAACAAATAAAAATGTACTTACTTCTAAAAAATATTAACTGCTACATGTAATTTCTGTTGTATGGAGAAATAAATTCATAACTGAGAAGGAGGTAATTTGTTTAAAATAAAGGGGCCTAAGAATCTACTGCCTCAGGCTTCTTGTTTTCTCTGCGAGCCCTTGGTTCCAAACTTGCATTTGTGACATGCTTACATGCTCTACTATTTATAGTACTTTACTGCATTTTCTAACTTCAAAATAAGTCGGCACAATTCACACCTTAAAATCCAAATCCTAAATTTCAAAAAATATAAGTTTATTACCTTTCTGAGCAAATATTTCCATGAACTTGAAACCAAATATATCACTAATTGGAAGTATTATATCCGCACGTTTTCTTGAACCTATCTATTGAGTAGCTACCCCATTCCTTTCCCAACATTCGTTGCATTAAGAATAAATGATAGCATTGAGTGTTGTAGACAAAATCTGGTGACGAGGAATGTTTGCTCTCGAGTATTAAAAAGTATTTTGTATGGAAAAATGAACTACAAATTCGACGTAAAATTAGCATCTAGCGAAGCCAGGGCTCAAGAAAACGTGCGCGGATAACACTCAGGAATTGTCACGACAAAACGAGCCGTTTAAATCGTCTATAAAGAATTAACTCCGAAAATAGTTTAAAAATACATGTCAAGGGGAACGTGGCGATCCGCTCATGATGCATCATGCTACCGAAGCTCACCTGTCGCTAAGGCATGATGCATGTCGTTGCACCGTATTACGCTCAGGAGCCTACGTCCGTTATATGTTTCTCGGCCATGCACGAAGCACTCAAAAGTGTGGTTATAATACTCTCGGTATATTAATCTATGGTTTGTCCACTCTTTCAACACACGATTCATGGGTTTACCACCGAGGTGTCCATGGTGTAATGTTTTTCCTATACGTACTATACTATCGTTTAATTACACCATAGATTAACACTATTAATAATCCATGTAGTCACACTGTAGTGTTTACACCAATCTACACCGTGGAATTGGCAGTTTCATTCATTGGTGGAAAAAAGAATTCAAATCATATTTTGGCGGGAATTTCAAATTTTTAAACTGATAAAAAACTAATAAGTTTTTTCAATATCCTCCACATTGTTTAAAAATCTGAAAAAAATATTTTATAGAATGTAATGAGACATATTATAGGGGGAAAAACGATACAGCACTTCAACGTCGAAAATTAATTTCAAAATATTATTATTATTTTTAAATTTGAAGTCAAAAATTGACTGACAAAAATACCTTCACATTAGACTATTTTCCCCCGTCTCTGAATTTTTTTCAGCCTCATACAAAATGCAACAAAAGCTCAGAAAAAAACATGATAACCACGTTTCTCGTATCTCTGCAACAGATCGCACTAGGAGGATGATATTTTGGAAATCTACGGCATTTTTATTGTCTTTAATATGAGCTTGGCGATTGTAGATTTGGCACACTTTTAATCGCCTATATCCTTGAATGAATCTTCAAGACATTATTTGCGTAAAAGCTAAGCAATCTTTAAGACCATTTGTGTAAACACTAAGCCCAAATATTACGTACTCGCGAGTTTTTTACGTTACGTTGCTTTCTCAATACGTGGATCTTGCCCCTTTTCCCTTAATTATTAGGCTTCCTCTTCTCCCATTTCAAAAGATGGCTGCCACCTAGCTGTAACCAGCATGTTTAGTAGGTTTCACATTTTTTGACCATGTGAACATTCATGGGAGATCCACGTTGCTTGGGTAAGACCCACTGAGGATGGGAAAAGTTCCCGAAAGTCAGAGAGTATATATCGCCGAAAGTTAACTCTGGAAAATTGTTAATAAAAATTATTAAAACTTTTGTGGAGATTATTTCATTTACCATACCAATTTGCTAATTTAATCGCAAGAAATGGCATCAAAAGTTCTTTAAAACTTGACAAGCAAAATATATTACAAATACTTTTGATAAAAATGTTAACATTACACTCATTAAGATAACGCAAGTAATACTTTAAATGCGTACCTTGAATAATGAAACTCAACCATCAACATTTTAATACAGCGAAGGAAACTCACCTTTTTAAAAAAAGTATGATAATAAATAAGTATTATATTTTTTCATAACTGTATTTTGATAACAATTAATACGTTAAATTACTTCAACTTTGATTACCTTAGTTTTGAAAATTCCTACACTCTGAAAAATTACTACAATTTTTAGGACAGTATTTATGAACATTTTGTTTTTTTGAACGAGTATTAAATTTTAATGTATGTGATATTTCTTTCGATGGTACATTTGTACCATCGTGGTACTAACTCGAATTCAGATGAATGTCCGAAACCGTCCAAGCGCAGTCTCTCTTCTCTACATTCAATCTGAAAAAAAAAAAAAAAGAAAAAAGAAAAAAAAAAAAAAAAAAAAACCGAACCTCAAGAAGACCCAACGCTCTATCTTTACATAGAGGCTCGACCAAGCTATAGATGGCGTTGACAAACCGAAAGGAAGCAAATATCACTGTAAATTACAAACTGATCCGACACACAAACTTCAGAGACTGCACATACAACCAAAAATCTACTAATCACTCTTATGCTCTAGAAAGTATACAAGAACTTGTCTCTCGGCAAAAGTTGTGACGTCATTAAGGACATCTTTATATGATAAGAGCATATTTCTTCCTCACACTTACGAAGGAACTTTTTAAGAAAATAAAGTATTGTAATGCTGCGCGAAAAAACGGTGAATTTTTGGCAGATAACTCTTGTTACAAAGCCCTGGTAACGAAAAGGTGGATAATCCATTTGCTAAATTTAGAATACAAATACTCAAACACGTGTCATGCCAGAATCCTTTTATGGGTCATGGATACCGAAAAATCGATTGCGGGCAAAACGTCTGTCACTATCTGTGAACAACACTAACGGTTAAACTGTTCAGGCGATTTTCTCCACAATCAGAGAGTATATATTGATTTTCCCTAATCGATCTGTCTGATGTCGCGGCACCTTAAATTTGAAACCGATATTTTAATTTTGGGGAGTACTTTACATACAGTCAATGGAACATAAAAGAAATGGCAGCATCGATTTTGATTAAATTTTGTAGTTGGATAGTCTGAAGGACGTTTAAGAGAATTGCGCAGGTTTCATGGTGGTTAAAACCCCTGATTTTTCGAAAATTGAAAGAATTTAAAAATTTTCCGGCATCTTCCTACAACTACAGTTACAATATACATTTTTTTCTGAATGAAATGTGTTCATCCAAAACAGATCTTCAAATAAGGTCATGTTGAATGTTTCGAAAATATGGACCTTTTTGGACTAATTGGGTAAGTTAGCCCACTGCAAAAATTCTGCGCTTCGTCATCGTAATTTGAGAAGTGTTTTAAGACAGTTTGATAAGTAAATTAGAATGTGTTTATTATTTCATATTCCTTTGTTCGTTTCATACATTGATGCCTTTGTTATACATTTAGAAATTAATATTTTACAAATCGTTTAAAATCTATTTGAAATAAATATGAAATGAAGATTGCTATCCTCCAGTCGCCCGCACCCAATTTATGCAGGTGAATACTTCGTAAGTTAGAATTTGTATATTATTTCATGTCATTTTATTATTATTATTGTTATTATTATAATTATTATTATTATTAACTATGTTATTTCATTTTAAATTGCGTCCTTTAATTGTGTTAAATGTGAAAATGAATAGACGAGCGATCATTGTTGGTTGTTGTAACCCCGTATTGATAACAGACGGTTGTTTTCCGTTCGCGGTAATATAAACTAATACTTTATATATTTGTAGAAAAATACAATAACATAGTGTTTAATAATTACTCGTATGTATTTTCGATCTATTTACATTTGTTTGTCAACACTAACAGTATCGTATTATTAATTAACTTTTAATTATTTTACTTTCTCGCACACTGCTTATTTTTCGCACCAAATGTTCTACGATTTCAAATGTTTTACCAAAAATGACGACTGAGATGTGTTAATTCGGAGAGAAATTGTGGTATAAATAGTATTAAATAACCATTAATAATGGCGAGAAAGTTCGTACTGTTTTAGAATTATTTTTTTATCATTTCATCATGCAATTAGTGTGTAATTAATTTATCGCGTTTTAAATATATCCGTTGGAAATTTGCGCTGGTGAACATAATGAGGTGTATCTAGGTATTAAGGCGTCCATGGCAAGCATAGAATTTGCGACAGTTAGGATACTTCTATTTAATTGTTGTTTAGTCTCTTATTTTAAATTAGGATACTTCAAATTAGGGTTGTTGTTGGTTTTAGTGGATATACTCTAAATAGCGCCCCTCTGTGAACCGTAGCATTTGCCATGTCTGCCATATCACAGATACACCCCTGTGTACAAATATCAATTTTACACATGGTGATCCATATGTAATACGTGGTCACTTCTTACGCGTCATTACGTGGTAATTTGTAATTTTCACGAAGTCCTGTAGACTTTGTGGAAATTTTATATCACACAGCGGATGTACTCTCTGTCAGGACCTGTTCTGAACCTGGACTGACCAAAGAGAAGGCATAGGTAGACGTCTGGGACTATATGGGCGATTTGGTTGGATATTCTGTGGTCCCCAAAATCCAGCTCTGGGAAAAATCTGTCGGCGGGTGCTCGGGTGTGACAGATGGGGGGGTTCATAATGTATTGTTGTGATGACGGCATCTAGAATTAATCTGAAAATTTCTCTTTGCAATTGAAATGACGTGTATACATTCAGCATGTGTACAAGAATTGTAGAAAATTATGAACAGGGCTTCAAAGTGGTATCAAACCACAAGAGAAAACAGAAGACCAAGGCAAGTTTACGATACTTGAGTAAACAAGTAAGTAAGAACCAACAGTTAATTAGATTTTTTGATTGACAGACGACAGTGTTATCAACCACTGAGCGCTGACGAACATTTTGAACATGAAGCCAATGAGTTAGGATGTGGGGTTGCTGATACATTCACATTAGCACCTGTTCAACCGGAATTGTATGTGGAAAAACTCTTGGAACCAGGAGACACCCTCCAAACATTATCACTTCAGTTCAACTGCCCGGTATGCATAATATAATCATAATTGTTTAATGGAAAGATGGTTTTCTTTTCCTTACCCATTGCATCTTCAAGTATATCCCTTTTGGTTAGAGAGGAATTAATATATGTGTAAAAGCAGTTGTGAAAGGAATGTCATTTTACAGGGGAGACAAAAAACGCGTAAATTAATTTTCTTTGATTACAATTAAGGCATAATAGAAATACTATGTTCTCTGTAAAACTGCATCTAACTCTTTTGTGGTAAACGTTCACATTGCTGGTTTTGCAGAGGCAATGTTTATTTGGCATCGAAATATTTGTATATGGCCTTAACTAATTAATTTTGTGCTTTGGTTTTATCTTTTGTGTATATATACTATATAATTTATACAGAATGTAGTAGTAGAATTTCTTTGTAAGTTGATGCAAAGTAGTGTTTTGTCATTCCTTCCCCCTGAATACTCATTTCTTGATTGACAGATTGTGATTATTGTTACTATGAAAGTTACTATTACTTGTTGATTACAGGTGGCAGAATTAAAGCGTATAAATCACATTTTGAGGGATAATGAAATATATGCCAGGCGGAAAATTAAGGTACCTATAAAACCAGGCTCAGTTCTTACAGAAAAATTAGCTGGGGTCCATTCAAACGGGCTGAAAAATGAAGGAAGCAAAGAGTGTGCCAAAATTGCATCATCTACTGATGAAGAAAATGAAGACATAGCTATTAAAAAATCAAAGTCTGTAGAACCTACACAACTATCATTTCAGTCCTTTGATTTAAACAAATATAGTAAATGTGAGACGATTTTGAATAATCCGCCTGATCCTAGTACATCATTTTCATTAGCATCTAATGAAAACACATTACTTCTTGAAACAGATAATAGTGGTACATCACTTGAAACAAATGCTCCACATGAAATAAATTCAAGCAATGAAAATATACCTTTTAAATGTAACGGAGCTGACTGGGGATTATCATGGTTACAGATAGTTATTTGTGCATTACTTTTGGGCTTTGGTGGGCCTCTGTTTATTTATA